GTCACCAAAATATTCATGCAAAATTATAAGTACTTCATTATTTTTAATCCACTTTCAAAATTTTATTTTTTAACAGGAGTAACTCACTCCAGTATTCTTGCCTGGAGAATCCCCTTTTGGACAGAGGAAACTGGCAGGCTACAGCCCATGAGATCGAAAAGAGGAGGACATGAGTGAGTGACTAAGTACAGCACAGTACAGCACAGTGTGAAACTGCACCCTCAGTTAAGACACTGGCCTAAATTAAGACTCAAATAAAGCACACTCAGTACCTAAATTTGATATTTACAAAATGAATATATGAGAATAACTTCAACTAAAATAAGTCTATTAAGCAATATTATTTGCAATTATGTTTTTTTAGTATGTCATCAACAACAAAAAAGAGAAAATTTTTCTAAAAACTAGTAATTATGTCATTTAAATCTTTAAACTGATTAGCAACTTGTAGATTAAAAATAATTTGCACCATTTTAGGAAAATAATTTTTAAAACATCACTCTTCTGGAAGATTTTAGAATGAAAACTAGAATACAGTTATACATCTAAAGACTTTGAGACAATAATTTCTTTTACATGACTTTAAAAGAATCTCTTTTCTTAGTTATTTTTTGCTTTGTTTTTAATGATAAAAGAGACTAAAAAACAGTTTATTCTTTGAGACAGTCTCTGCATATTAAACAAATTTCAATTACAGAGAAAATATGGAAAGGAAAAAGGTTTTTTAAGCATAGCAATCTTCAAAAATAAGATACACATCTATGGAACCAAAAATGGAATCAGATGTGTAAAGCAGGAAGTAGAGTTGAAACTTCAAATCTCCTGGGCTTTGCCTCCAGCAGCAGGCAGAGTAGATAGGGAGAAGCACAAATTAAAAATGCCTCACAGACGTAGACACTAAATACAGACTCACTATTTGAACTGAGGCCTACAAAGGGGGTCAAAGAAAAACTGTAACTCTTCCCAAGGAAATGACATATAAAGAGACATACATAAAAACATGGAGAAGAAATAGAAAAATCTTCCCACTAAGAAAGGTACCCAACCACTTGCTAGATCATGACTTAACCTGAGTTTTCCTAATATCCCCAGAAGGTTAAAGTGCTAACTTTAATCAATAACATAAGACCTGTCTATTAATAGGACTTTAGGGCCAAATGAAACACACAAAACTAGAAGTAAGGGAAACTGTATAGAGAGCGGATGAAAGGAGGCAAATGCCACCCTAGACAGGCCTGCAAGCCAAATTCCAAAATAAAAGAGTTTCTATTTGTCTCTTCAGGTATAAAGAAAGTATTTGTTTTATAACTATAGCTTTGCAGATGTCTTAATATCTAGTCAGTATTCTCATTTGTCTTCTTAAAGTGAACCCAGCAATCTCTAAATGTTTATTTTTTCTCCAACATAAATTTTTTAATGAATCTGTTCAGTTATACTACAGATCCAGCATAATTATTTTTGAGATTTCATTGGATTTGTAAAATAATACAGAGAAACTTAATAATATTTAACACATTGTAAAGTAATTAGCCTCCAACTAATAAAAATAAATGAAAAATAAATAAATAAAAATAATATTTAACACATTTAGTATGTTGTGTCATTTCACTATGGATGTGATATACCTATTATTTATTCAAAGTTGTTTAATAAACATAATATAACACATATTAAATACAAATTTATACATTATATATCATACATTTATATACATAAATATCCTGTATATCATATATGAGGTGGAGGGCTTCATGATGGAATTAGTGTTCTTATAGAAAGAGATGGGCTTCCCATGTGGTGCTTCCTCTGGAGAAGGAAATGACAACCTACTCCAGTATTCTTGCCTGGGAAATCCCATGGACAGAGGAGCCTGGTGGGCTACAGGCCATGGGGCTGCAAAGTCAGACACGACTGAGCAACTGAGCGTGCATGCACGTGCGCACACACACACACACACACACACACACAGGAGGATATACTAAGGCAGGAGATAGACAGTCCCAGGCTGAGGAGCCGCAGTATGTCACCTAGGAACAGATATTCCAAGATGAAGATAATAGCAGGAGGCTAATAGGAGAGGCTGAGCCCTACCTAGATAAGAGACAGAGACCACATACTTCTCATCCTTGAGGTCAAGGAGACCTTCCTGACTATACATGTCCAGAAAGGCTCCTTGAAGTTAAAAAAGGAAGTGGTGTCAACCTACTCTTAGGCCTCTTTGCTGGAATCCTTCTTGGCTAAGAGATGCATCAGTAAGCCAAATATGGACTCAGAACCAGGCAAAGCAAGATGACTGGCCAAAGGAAACCCAGGAGAAATGCCTAATATAACTGATTCAAATTACTGTAAGGGCACAACCACCATGTGTCTACTCATGCACTCTCTATCTTCCCCAAAGACACTTGTTTCACTCCTTTCTGTCTCTTTGTGGGAATTCATTCTACAAAGTCAGTGGGCCAGGAGTTTTGTCACTGGCCGCTGGTCTAGTGGCTAGGATTCAGCACTCTCACTGCCGCAGCCTGACTTCAATCTCTGGCCAGGAACCAAAATCCTGCTTCAGGCCACTGCAGACTGAGCCCACCTGAGATCAATACCACAGAACTTGCTTCCTCTCACTCTGCATATGAGACCCCAGCAAGAAGACAGCCATCTACAAGCCAGAAGAGAGTCCTCAAGGGGGAACCAAATGGGCCAGCACTTTTCTCTCAGAATTTCCAACCTGTAGAGCCGTGAGAAATAAATTCCTACTGTTTAAGTTGATGGTAGGCTGAGCTAATATAAATTTTGATACCAAGAAGGGAGGTACTACTATAACAAATATCTAAAATTGTGGAAGTGGCTTTGGATGTGGGTAATGGGTAAAGACCTGAGGAGTTCTGTAGTACATGCCAAAAAAATTGAGATCACATTAAGAGTGATTCTGAGGAACTCAGGGAAAAAGGAAACAGAGATGGACAGAAATTTTCCATCTTCTTAGAAAAATATATAGGTAATCTTATGTAGAATACTGGCAGAAATATGGATATTAAAGGCAGGCCACTTTGAGGTCTCAGATGAAAATGACTAACAGGTTATTAGAAATCAGAGGAATGGTAATACTTGTTACAAAGTGGCAAAGAATTTGCATGAATTGCATTTGTATTTTAGTGTTTTGTGGAAATTATAATTTGCAAATGATGACTGGATAAATATTGGATATTTAGCTGAGGACATTTCTAAGCAAACTGTTGCTTAGAAAGACTTGTTTCCACCTGCCTCCTTATAATACAAGTGAAGAAGAGAGATAAATTGAAGAAAGAACTGTTACACAAAGAAAAACCAGACTTTATATAAGATTTGGAAAATTCTCAGCCTGTTCATATTTCAAAAACTGAGCAAGTATATTCAGAAGACAACACCAAGGATATGGCTGGCCTATCACTTGATAGAGACATTACATGCCCGCATGCCAAGCCGCTTCAGTTGTTTCCAACTCTTTTGCAATGCTATGGATTGTAGACTGCCAGGCTCCTCTGTCCATGGGATTTTTCCAGGCAAGAAAACTGGAGTGGATTGCCATTTCCTACTCAAGGATAAAGACATTATGAGAGTATAAGAGCAGAAACACTGCCAGTTTGAACTGAACATAAAGACAGGATAAAATAACCAAGGGCTACTGGACTTCTTAGATTCCACAGGACAGGGCAAGAAAGCCATTCATCTACTGCTGCTGCTGCTGCTAAGTCACTTCAGTCATGTCCAGACTCTGTGCGACCCCACAGACGGCAGCCCACCAGGCTCCTCTGTTCCTGGGATTCTCCAGGCAAGAACACTGGAGTGGGTTGCCATTTCCTTCTCCAGTGCAGGCATGCATGCTAAGTCGCTTCAGTTGTGTCTGACTCTGTGCGACCCCTACAAATATGCATTATTCTTTAAGAAAAGAGAAGAATGACATTGGGGGGAAAAAAAACCAAACCAAAACAACAACAATAAAAACAAGCTTATGGATACAGAGAAAAAGATTGGTGGTTGCCAGAGAGAGGGTGATGGGGTGATGGTGGACAAAATGCATGAGCTGAGTTAAAAGGTAGAAACCTCTGGTTTAAAATAAGTTAAGTCATGGAGATGTCATTCACTCATCCTTCCGTTTTTTTCTGGTTGCTACCACTTCTTTCCTTTTTTTTTGTAAATTTAATATTGCTATCTTCCGGAAATATGAATATTTAATATATTCTTATCTTCCATGGTATGCAAGCCCTTCCATGCCTTCTCCCCCAGTAAGCTCTTTTTTTTCTCTCAATAGACAAAGGGGAAAAAAAGCATTTCAGGCGAATGAAGGCCTTATTCTTACAGAAGATATAAGAGCATATATTTACGGTCTCAGGATAGGGAAAAATATTCTTAAGTCAGATCCTCTCCCTAAAATGGGAGTAATGCTAAATTTTTGCATTGTTTCAGACAGGAAATGAACTAGAGTCAAGTACCAATTGGCTGGTTTCTTTTCCTCACCGTTTTGAAATTTAGATTACTAGGTCTGAAAGAATCGACTAAAGTGTACTCAGAGAGAAACCATGTCTTATTTCCATCCATTTCTAAACCATTTCGGCCATGAGATTTTGGAGACTAATAAGTAAATTCTGAACCTCATCTCACGTTAATTCATACTCTGCGCAGCTGAGACTCCTGACAAAAGTTCCACCTCGGCTGTGGGGCAAATAAGCTTGACTTCCCCCTCTGTTTCAACTTCCTCATCCTTAGGCATACACAAGTTATTACAGCAAGAAAGCAGGTGTATGATAAATCACCCTGGGAGCTTCCGGGTTGGTGAACCGAAGAGAGATTCAGAAAGCAGAAGCAGAGTTGGGAGCTCCTGCCCATTCCTTCACGCCTGGCCCTACATTTCCCTTCACGGGGCTGATCTCCACCATGCTGAATGGCTCACCTTCTCTCAGAATAACTTCTTTCCGGAACAGGCATGGCCTCCTTCTCTCCAGCTGAGCGCCAGACCCACTGCCGAACGGATGTGCAAGGATGCCGCAAAGCCTCCAGTCGCCAGGCCATCTCCCAAGCGGGAGATACAATTCTCAGTAACTGCTTCAGACGGTCGCCGAGGCCGCGACGCGCCTGCGCAGTGGGCGAAGGCGGCCTTTTGCAGTTCCTGCCAATTCTCGGTGCGAGCTGGCCTGGAACTAGTTCTGCGTTCTGTGGAAGCACTGAACGTGCCTCAGCTGCCGGAGCTGCTTAAGCTATATGACCAGAGGCTCTTTCCAAATGCAAGGTACTATCGCTGTCTCAAATATGGCAGAGTGATAGAGAATTATTGAGTTACTTTTGACACCACGGATTTTCATTCTCATTAAAGAGGATATTTACGTTCGCTATCACTCCTTCATCAACCAGAGCGATCTTGAAAGGACGATGTAGACAAGTGTTCTAAGTGCTGGGCTCTCCTGACATTGGCTATATGCACCATAGACAGAGCACTGAAAGATTTAAGCATCGTTTCTGGATGTATTCTGCAAGGAGAGGTTTTCATTGCTGGGTCTGGGATTAATCAGAAAATGGTCCTCTGAAATACTTTCCGGGAGAGTTGAGTTATTGCGGCTAGTTAAAGGTGGTCAGGGCTTCCCCAGTGAGTCAGCGGTAAAGAATCGGCTTGCAATGCAGGAGAGCTGGGTTCGATCCCTGGGTTGGGAAGATCCCCTAGAGGAAGGCATGGCAACCTACTCCAGTATTCTTGCCTGGAGAACCCCATGGACAGAGGAACCTCGTGGGCTGCAGTCCATGGGGTGGCAAAGAGTCAGACAGGACTGAAGCAGCTTAGCACAGCACAAAGGTTACAAAGTTCACCTAAGTAAAGAAAGCACTCTTTTCTCAGAAAATCTATAAACATAACTTTTAAAAATACATTGACAGATATGGCTTGGTTGATCAAATATTCTTGAAAACAAGAAATGTAGAATAAGATTTTAGCCCTTGTTTCTGAGACAATTCATGATGAACTTCAACAGAGCTTCCAAAATCACAGTTCACTTAAGGATTGGGAGCCTTTGAAGAAGGTAGCCGGCAGATGTCAGAATAACATTGCAAATGACAAATGTGGACTCTGGCTGAAGTGAGAGATCACGCTCCAGCACTCTTTGCCACAGTGGGATATCAGTGTTAGCAAAGGAATCAATCATTGACTAAATAGCCCTTTTAAGTGTTCATCCTAATACATATTGCAGTGTGCTTATTGATTTACAGAAAGTAGATCAATTTACAGTTTCCACCATAAGCTCCATCTGCCATGAACAGGATACTATTTCCACTAGTGAAGAGGAAAAGAAGTAAGCTGAATCTGATATCAAGCATAGAATCAGAGATTATAAGAAAACCAGTCTAGCTCCTTATGCAAAAGTTTCTGAACAAGTTTCTGGAAAGTTTAGATAAGTCCTCCAAAGGAGAAGTTATCTTTCAGAAGAGTGATTTACAAAAAGACTTCTGAAGATAACAACACCCTTCAAACCAGTGTGGCTATCTTCTACCTTCAACCAAGAATCGAATACTTCAAGAACCATTTCATAAATAGGACAGAACTATGTATGCATTTTTAATGCTCAAAGCAATTCTTTTTTCTTAAATGATTATGTTGAAAATATTCCTGAGACTACCGAAGGAGAGTATCAGTTTTCCTGGAAGGAGCCATAATAGAAAAGATAATTGGATTGCAGATAAACTTGTAAAATTTAGTATTGTACAAAGATAATTCTAAGATTTCTTATATGAATATAGAGTTCTGCCAGTTGCCATATACAGAGGTAAATGAGCAGTAATATGTTTAAGACTTTAATCTCAGCTCACTGGATACAGCCTCCATATTTCTGGAGTGAATGTTCTAGGTGAATGAGGGCTTTGTCCTTAAGACTTAGACACTCATTTATATGTGGAAGGTGCATTCAGTCAATCCCTAGTTTTGCTTACTAATATTTTTATTGTCTAGACTATACCCCACTGCCCACATTTTAAATATTATTTTGAACTAAACATCTAAACCTACCAAAACTTCAATTCAAAGATATAAATTACTAGATTACAACATTAGGGGCTAGTCATTTTTTTTTACAACTATCACAGCTGTAGCTCCTAACTTCTTCCCTCAGAGAACATTAGATTAGCCTACTATAAAGAAACAGCTTAGAAAAAATAACCAACTTCATTTCACCAATATAAAACCTGTTGTGTTTGTCAAAACACTTTGACTTTCCATTTATCTAGATACTTAAATTGAATTTTAAAGGTTTGGTTTCTTCCATGTTATTTTGTGTGATTGATTTTGAAGTGTCAGATTTATTTTGCCTCAGTTTACAACCAGTTTGAGCAGAACAGTTGTTCTGGTTTCCATTTTATTTTCTGAGAAACATTGAGAAGTGGGCTATTGGACTAGTGCGCAATAAAAATTGCATTTCCTTTAAGGTTGTTTTTTTCTGTAGGCACACAGTCTTTTTCAAATTTTTAAATCTTGTAGCTTATGGAGAACAAAGTCTGTCAGGCAGTCAACAATCAACACATTGAAATACCTTGCATTTCTTTCTCCTTCCTATTTTTTTTACAGAAACATTAAAGACTGTGTGCAAAAAGCAAATGCTCTAGATTTTGGTCTGTATATGAGGATCAAGAAAGTACCTCAGTAAGAAACAGCCTAAATCAGAGCTCATTTTGGACAAAACCCAAATCAGTGTGCCCTAGAAGCATTAAGTGAGGTTTTTGCCCCACCTAGTGTCCGCTACATGGAATCACTTCTTAGAGATAAAATTTAACACATCACAACTCAAAGATTAGGGAGCTAGCATGAGGCTGGGCACTGACTCAAAGCAGGTACAGTCAAAGAGATGTTGTTTTGTGCTTCTTTGTTACTATCCTGAAAAATAACCATGCTAAAGAAGCTACTATTAGATCTAAGGAATTCATCAAATACTTACAGGGCCAATCAACAGAAGTACTCTTAAGATTTGAGATGATAGAAACCCTGATTTGGTAGAAATAAGAATGGACGGTGATGGCAGGCAGAATGGCAGTAACACCTGGGAATAAGAAACTTTACACATATCTAAGGATAAATTTACATATGCATGAATGAGGTCATATTGTGCTGGTTTTTTTCCCTTTCTTTTAGTACAAGTGAAAGATTTCAATATACCCATTTTGAAATTGGACTGAGATAGTGCACAAAAAACCGGTAAAGCTATACAGTTGCTATGATGCAACTGATTATGTATCTGATTACATAACTATGGCTATATATGGAAAGGGGCTTCAAATCACCAAATCAAGAATAATCTTTACTATATATCAATGGAAATTTTTAAAAATCATGCACTTAGCTAAAATGAATATCCAAAAAGTGAAATATTTATATATCACATTCTCATAATATAAACTAGACAGAATTTTAAGTTTATCATAATTATTTGGGTGTTAAGAAGCATACCCAACTCTTGAACCTATGGAAACAGAAAAATAAAATTAAAAACTAAAAATCAGTGAAAAGGAGAATACTTTATAACTGAACCTAGGGGTTACAGAAAAAAAAGCAGGATTGAGGAAAAATTGTATCATCACCATATCCTCACAATTGTTATTAATAAAGAAAGATGTAAAATAGAGGAGTTGGTATGTACCTTAAAGTATTAGAAAAAGAATGACAATCCCAAATAGAGAAGAGAACTAGTAAAGGTGAAAAGGACTGATTTGCTTTATTAAGAAACAATAATATAAAACGAAAACATGCCTATTTGTGTCTGGTTGGAGGAGCCAAATGCACTATTATTTCCAAGTTATCCCAGCAAAATTTTCAGTCTTGACTCTCTTGCAAACCCATGTCAGAGGCATATTCACATTTTTAACCATTACCTTTTTCAAAATGTATTGATGTTCTAATTTTGAATTGCCAAAGTGTTTCTTACTACCCAAGTTGGGCACATCTTGATGTTTCACATGTGCTGTGCTGTGCTGACTCACTCAGTCGTGTCCAATTCTTTGAGACCCCATAGACTGTAGTCCACCAGGCTCCTCTGTCCGTGGGGATTCTCAAGGCAAGAATATTGGAGTGGGTTGCAATGCCCTCCTCCAGGGAATCTTCCCAACCCAGGGAATGAATCCAGATCTCCCACATTGCAGGTGGATCCTTTACCATCTAAGCCATCAGGGAAGCCCATATTCCTGATCAAAGGTTAGGAGTGATGGACAAACTTTTTTTGTTTGGGGCTTTGGCTTTGTGAGATGGTTGGTGTTCAGTCTCACAGTCTCATATCTGTCTCAACCACTCAACCCTGCCACTGTTATTCCAAAGCAGCCATAATCAATATAAAAATGAATAAATAGGACTATGTTCTGATATAAATTTGCTTATAAGAAAAAGAAAAGAAGAGGGGTATGGGCTGAATTTGGTCTATGGGCTGTGTTTGCTGATCCTGGGTTATAGTTAAACTCTGATTTCAATAAGTGCATAACCACCATTAATATGCATATGAATATATAAGCAAGTTCAGTTCAAAAAGAAATTCATTTGAGGATATAATAGTGATAATAATAATCACAATTACTGTAATAGTTGTCATTCTGGAAGGGCCTTTCCATAGGTCAGGCACTTTACACAGTGTTTTCCATGTGATTCCTCAATATCCACATCAACCCTGTGAAGTAGGTACTGTTACCATTGACCTATGGAAGATGAAAAAACAAGAGTTTAGACACTTAACATTTATTCAGTGTTCTGGTTGCAAGGTAGCAGTTTGGGATTTAAGGTCATCTCTGCTGAGTCCAAGTTGTAAATTGTTGCTGTTGTTCAGCCGCTAAGTCGTGTCCAACTCTTTGTGACTCCATGAACTACAGCATGCCAGGCTTTCCTGTCCTTCACTATCTCCCTGAGTTTGCTCAGATTCATATACATTGAGTCAATGATGCCATCCAACCATCTCATCCTCTGTCACCCACTTCTCTTGCCCAGCAGCAGGGTCTTTACCAATGAGTCGGCTCTTCGCATCAAGTTGCCAAACGATTGGAGCTTCAGCTTCAGCACCAGTCCTTCCAATGAATACTCAGAGTGGATTTCCTTTAGGACTGACTGGTTTGATCTCCTTTCTGTCCCAGGGAACTTCAAGAGTCTTCCCTCATACCGCAGTTCAAAAGCATCAGTTCAGTGCTCAGCTGAAACTCCAGCTATTACTTAAAGAAACACTTGGAATTCAGGCTGTCATATACCTGGCAAGTTAGGGTTTCCTGGGTGCAGGGAACTATCTCTCAATGTTCATTTTTCTACAAAGGAATTTCACTCCACTTCCTA